TTAATTTCAGTAAACTGTACTGGATTTATGGATGATTTAATTTTTGTAAATTTCATGTTTTTGTTTTCCCTGAATTTTGAAGCCAATTGTTGTCTGTTTCTCAGATTAGCATAGAAGAAGATGAGAAACAGCTTGCAGTACAGAAAGGTGTAGAGATAATCCAGAGATGTTACCATGGCCACCAAGCCCGCCATTACTATAATGAGCTCAAGAGAGGAGCTATTGTACTTCAATCATGTAATCCCCACACTTCTGTATTACAACCCTAGTTATCCAATAAAATGCAAATCGCCCGTAGGGGTAACTCAGTTGGTTCCTGGTCGTAGATTGTGAGAAAGAACACAAGATCGAGCCCCAGTAGACCCCGTGTGTGGGCTCTTTCTGGGCACCAGACACTGGTCCTCCCACCTAATAGGCCGATGAGTTACTGTTCTTGCGGGAACGAGTGAATTTTGCTTTTTGTGGGCAATAAAATGTAGATTCTGTGCCAATGACCTTGTTGTCTAGTGGCACGAAGTGACTCTCTCATATGGGACGAGTGAATTTTGTTTTTTGTGGGCAATAAAATGTAGATTCTGTGCCAATGACCTTGTTGTCTAGTGGCACGAAGTGGCTCTCTCATATGGGAGGTCTTCAGTAGGTTGAGAAAGTAGTTATGATCAGATACTGCATTGTAATAGAGTCAGATGCAGATTCTGTTTTGTCCTAGGGTATCTTATGATTCTCATGTTGGGTTGTTTATGTCTGCAGTTGTACGAGGCGAAAACGCAAGAAAAGATTATCAGTTTCTTGTTACAAGGCTGAGAGCCATTGTCACTATCCAGAAACACATGAAGGAACAGCAATCTCGGAGATTAGAGCAGCTCGCCGCAGTCATATGTTTGCAATCTGGTAACCATTATTTGCTAGTTAAATGTAGAATGAATCTGCAGTGTTAGATCGCGAAATGGTTAAGTTATCCTCTCTGTGTATTACATTCTTCAGGAATTCGCGGTTGGTTGACACGAATAGAATTCAATAAGAAAATAACAAGTCGGTTGAACTCAAGACAGATGCTAAATCCTGAATTGAAGGATGAGGACATTAAGGTATTGGCTTGTACTAATGGGGTTAGTGTTTGCCTAGAATGTTTTAACTTGTTTTTGAGACAATTCCAATGTTTTTATGTGACATTTATGTGCATTGTCTAATTCAATCTCGTTCAGGTTCAGAGGTCAGTTTTACTTGATCTTCAAAGGAGAGTTGCGGTAACAGAGGCAGCTTTGGAGAGAACGAGAGACGAAAACGCCTCTCTCAAGGAATATATTTTGCAGTTTGATAAAAAATCGCAAGAGTATGAAGCGAAGATGCAATGTCTGGAGAAGTCGTGGCAAGATCAGCTGATGTCTATACAGGTCAGTCTTGCATCCCTCTCGATCACACTCGAATTCTTGCACCCGTGAATCGGTTAATGGCATCTGATAGTTTCCCGTTCATAAAACGAATATCTGTATATCAGTATATGAGCATATGTGTTGAGCATATAACCATTAATGTGCAGTCCAACTATCAGGTTAGGCTTTTAGTTGAGATGGAGCACATGCTTCAATTTGGTAAAAGAGCCAGACCAAAGGTCATGGCTTCAATTATATGACAGCTAAACAGAAAAGCGGTTTTCGTGAACTTGTGCAGACAAGTCTAGGTGCAGCTAGTAGAAGTGAGGGTGTTGCAGAAAATGGGCTTTCAAGAACTGAACCCCCAAGCGAAAGGTTTATCCCGTTTGAACGGTCTGATGCAGGACTGGTAGTGAACAACAGGCTCGATTTCGCGAGTCCTCTCGATCAAGAAAATGGTTCTCATCAAAACATGATTACATGGGTTAAATCAGGGCATGATGAGCCCTTGAATTTAAGTCCAAAAAACAGTGATGTGCATAAGGTGAAGTTAAGGTTTAAAGCTTGGAAGAAGGATTACAAGAGCAGATTGCAGGTGGTAAAAGCAACACTGAAGCAGCTAAGACATTGTGATAGAGGCAAGAGCACATAAATATGGTGTACTATGGCCCCGTGTGGTAAAATAATTAGCCTATCAGTCAATTTTGGTTTATTTGACCACTATTAGCGGTTTGATTTGGTTAAACAATTAATATTAGTGCTTGATTAACAGAAATGTGTTCAAAGTAGCTTTACGATCAGGCATGCATGTAATCAGCTATCAGTTAATTTTAAACACCCCCTATATCTTAAGTTATGGTACATACTATAGATTATACACGATAATACAATTGTGTGCATTTTTTTTTTTTTTGGAATACTATCAAAGAGTCAATACCGTCCCTACTGGGGATTGAACCTATGACCTTCCATTTTGAAAAGTCACTGGATGACAAGGTCATTGAAGTATTTAGATTTTTTATTTGAGTAGTGATCTAAAATTTTTAGGTGTTATTATGAGATTTATGCATGTTTATTTGATGAATCTTTGTAGATTCTCTCATACTTCCATTTACTAAAAGCATTTTAGAAATTATGTCGTTGAAGCTCCTTTGTAAGATCTTAAACAAGTCAATGTTAAATTATTTGGAATTATATATAAATTCACAGTTAAAGATGGAAATAAAGACATGCATACTCTGTTTGGACCGTGTATGCATATATAAACACACATACATATATACATATGTATATAAAGTTTATGCGACATGCAATGTACAAAATTTAAGATTATTTGGCAGGTATAAGGTTTCATTTTTCAAGCTATCTAGTTATATTTGGAGAATGTTTTATAAAGTTCACTTCTTAATGACCCGCCGAATGTTGTCCAGCCATTACCGTTTGCTTGTTCTAGATTTATGTATTTTTTATTTTACTTTTTTTGGTGGTTATTTATGCTACACAGAAACGAAAAAGGGAAAGGAGAAATGGGGAAGTGGCATTAAAAAAAGAATAGGAAGCCAAACATGGAGAAACGTGCAGATGTTAAAAATAGATTACAGGTGCCAGTACACTTTTAAATATGATTGGTTCGTATAAGGGAATCGGAATTGCAATAGGAATAAAATATTTGATAGTGGTAATAGATTTTGGTGAGAGTATTTTGCATGTTTGTTAGTAAGGTAGAATTGGAATGATTACCAATATTGATGTTTGGTTTTGTATGACCACCCTTTATAATGGAAATAAAGGTTTTAAAAATTAGGGTTGGGGTTCAACTTTTTGAAAGAATAAAGGTTTTAAAAAAAGTATAAAAATAAAAAATTTAAAGCAATTGATACTAATATAATGACATTCAATACACCAATATGAACAAAAAATAAAAAATAAAACAAAAATTTAATAGCACTAATCCAAATTTAAAAATAAGATTACCAATAGGATGGAATGATACGCAATTCGTTTTTAATTAAGGAATGAGGTTCTTAATTGAAGGGATAATCAAATCTCATAGTTGTGTTTTAAAAAGTTATCAACAAAACACATTTTGATTCTCATTCCTAATGTGTAAACCCATGAACCAAACACACCCTTCTTCTTCTTCTTCTTCTTCTTCTTCTTCTTCTTCTTCTTCTTTGGTCCTACTATTATTGTGGCATGACCATTTTTTGTCATATGCCAACAAAATTTTTTAAATGACGATAAATACAAGGACATTTTGATCTATTCAGTATAAGTATTTAGTCTTTTTTCCATTTTTGGTCCTAGATTTATATGTGTCATCTCGACCAACTTTTAGTCTCTTTTTTTTTTTTTTTTTTTTCTTTTTTTAATATCCATGTTGGTCCTAGCATTATTGTGGCATTATCATTTTTGGTCCTCTATCAACAAACATATTTAAATGACATTATTAGCTACTCAAAATGTTCCTCTTTATTATTTTTATTTATTTTTATTTTTTTATTGGTAATAGAACCACAAGTCTTATGGATTTTTATAAAGTAGATTTATGCACTAGACTTAAGGTTTGTCATTAAGGGTCCGTTTGGAAAGTAGGAAAATGACTTATGGAAAATGAGTCATTTTCCGAAAAATATTTTCCTTTTCCAGTGTTTGGTTGCATTTGGAAAATTGTTTTGGTGTGTTTGGTTCATTTTCTAAAAAATGAGTAGAATTGTATAATTAAATATTTTAATTATTTTATTTAGAATATAAAAATACATTTTATATGTTTGAAACCCAAAAAAAAAAAGGGTTCAGGTATCCGCCAGAAACCATAGCTATGGTTTCCGCCAGAAACCTTAAAAAAAAAAAAAAAAAAAAAAAAAAAAAAAAAGCAATGGGCGGAAAATGACTTCCGCCAAATTTTGGCTGAAGTCATTTTCCGCCGAAATGGGCACATTTTTCCCAGTCAACGAAAAATGTTTTCCGTTGACTGGATTTTCCAAGTGTTGTCAAACACCAAAAACCATTTTTTTCAGAAATCATTTTCTGGGTTTCCAAACACACCTTAAGTAAACTTGTGATTTTTTCAATTGCACTTTTTTGGGATTTTAGAGTAGGCTTATGTATTGATAATAGTTTATAACCAAGAAGAAAAAAGGAGGATTTTGAGCGGTTAATACCGTTATTTTTATGACATTTAAACATACTCGTTGACAGTCATTTTTTTCGCCGGAAATTTCATTAGTCGGTAATCGGTCACTTTTTTTACCGGAAAATTCGCCGGAAGGTGGCCTGAACGCTAATGACATGTGATAGCAGATCATTAACCTCTTTTTAGGATTCATTGCACCTAAATGAATTGTTGATCGGTGTCATTACGGCAAATTATGCCCTGGAAACGTGTTCACCATGAATGGTGAACACGGGTCCAAACGGCGCCGTTTTTACGTTAAAAAAAAAAAAGGGAAAATCAACGATTTGGTCCCTCAATTGTTAGCGAAATATCAATGTAGTCCCTTAATCGCGAAATCATCGATTTAGTCCCTGGAAATAACTGTTTTTAGTTGATTTGGCCCCTCCGACCGTAGCACGTTCAAAATCCAACGACTGCTCCGATTTGGCATGGGTAAATTTGTCATTTCGTTCTAAAATGAACAAAAAAGGGTTTCGACGGAAAAAAACGGTTTACTCTTGATGCCGGGCGGTTCACAAAGTTTCTGGTGGAGGGAGGTTGAGATCAAGATCTAAAATTAGGCCGTCTTTTTTAGGTTTGAGATCGCGATTGGTTTCGACCACGGAGGAGGAGTCGGACTCGCTCTGAGCAACGCCGCTTCCGGTGCTGCCGACGCCGCCGTCGTGAAAATTGGGAGACGAGAATCGGGGGTTGAGGGAAGGCGAAATTGCGCGGCACATGCGAGGGCGTTGAAATAGAACACGTGGCTGGCCGGATGCACGACAGCGGCGGGCGGGTATCCACACACGACGACCGGCGCGACGCGGAGGTGACGGCTTTGGTAGGGAAGGTTCACCGCGGAGAATCTGCCGCCGACGTTGAGATCCAACAGCGACGACGAGTCAACCAACACGGTGTCGCGGCTGGACGACTCCACGGTGCTACTCTGGCTGGGACTGTGGTGGTTGCTATTCTTCCCTCCTCCTCCTCCTCCGCCGCCGTCCTTCTCGCACGCATTCCTGTTCATATCAAACCGCGCGCAGAAATCGAGCGGAATCCGCTCCTCCGCCAACGGAAAATTCGTTTTCGCCTTGGCGCCGCGGAACTCCCGCGCGGCATTATCGTAAGCCCTAGCGGCCTCCTCCGCCATATCAAACGTCTCTAGCCAAACGCGGCTTTTCTTCCCGGGATCTCTGATCTCTGCCGCGTACCTCCCCCACGGCCTCTTCCTCACTCCCCTGTAATGCACCTGCTCTTTCCGCACTCCATTCACGTTGCAGTCCACCGCCGGAACCGCCACAACCACCGCCGCCCCCTTATTAAATAGGGCAAAAAGAATAAGACCAAAATGCGAAATGACAAATTTACCCATGCCAAATCGAAGCAGTCGCCGGATTTTCAACGGGTTACGGTCGGAGGGGCCAAATCAACTAAAAACAGTTATTTCCAGGGACTAAATCGGTGATTTCGCGATTAAGGGACTACATTGATATTTCGCTAACAATTGAGGGACCAAATCGTTGATTTTCCCAAAAAAATAAAATAAAATTCGCTAATGTGGTGTTAACGGCGCGCGTTTGGTCAGATTATGAATTTTCTGTTATGAGATTATGAATGTACTATAAATTCATAATCTCATAACAGAAAATTCATAATCGCATAAAAGAAAAATATTTATTAAATTATGAATTTTCTGTTATGAGATTATGAATTTACTATAAATTCATAATCTCATAACAGAAAATTCATAATCTCATAACAGAAAATTCATAATTTATGAATGTTGAAGAAGCTTGCGCTGCAAAGGAGCAGCCATGGTTTCGGACGGGAATGTGTAGGCATGGTTTCAAAGTGAATGTGCAGGCATGGATTCATAATTCATGAATGTTTGAAATCATTACTCACCTCAAATTAAAGTTAAACCGCGAAATGTGAAAATGAAGAAGAAAAGTCATGCAATTAATTAAGGAAAAAAAAAAAAAGATAACGGTATACTAACACCGTTGGAACCGAGTTCACTATGGATGGTGACCACGGTTCCATGGCATAACGATTGTGTCATTACACCATTAAAAAGTTTAGGGTCTAATTGATTTTTAAGTTAAAGTTTGAAGGCCTATTTGACCCTTTTCTAAAAAATTTATTGTATTTTTTAATAATGAAATTGTAATGTTTTTGTGTTTTTTTCTACTAAATAGTACTTTATAATAAGGTTTTTTTTTTTTTTTCCCATATCAGAAAATTTCTAAATTAAAGCTGCTTTATTTCAGCTTTTAACTTCTTAATTAATACCCAACCAAAATAGTATCATTTTTTTCAAAAGGGAAATAGTATCATTTAATTACCGCGAGTAAATTTCAATTTTAGTCCTGTGACTATTGGGTCCTGTTAATTGTAGTTCATGACTTTTAAACATGTTAATTTAGTACATTGACTATGCAATTTTTATCAATTTTGGTCAATCTGACAAAATTGCTGGCCAAATTTCACCGGAAAAACTTAATTAACCAATTAGTGTTTAGGAAATTAGTTTTTTTAATTATGGTCTGAATTAAGCAAAGACCGTTTTTTCCGACGAAATTTGGTCGGAGTGACCAAAATTGATAAAAATTGTATACTCAAAGTACTAAATTACCACTTTTGAAAGTCATAGACTGCAATTAATAGGACCCCAATAGTCACAGGACCAAAATTGAAATTTACTCTAATATTTAGCAAATCAAGGCTCTGTTTGGCGGAACTTATTTAGGTGCTTATAGGTTATTTTAAATTACTATTAAGCTATAAGTTCTGTTTGGTAATGTTCCAAAAATAAACCAATATTTTAAAATAATAACTTATTTTGAAACGCTACCTAGGTTATACCTTTGCTAGAGCTAGGAGTTTGTAGGGTGAACTTACTTTCTAGGACGTTAATTAGTCTCCCTGATTGTAGTTTTGGTTCGAGTACGTGGTGCCATTTTTGTTTTGTTTTGTTTTGTTTTTTTTTTTTTTTTTTGTTTTTTTTTTTTTAACAGAAGAAAAGAACATGACGTAGAATTTATGAATTGAAGTAAAACATTATTCTAAAATCTATATCTATATTTATATTATTAATAAATACAAAATCCTCCTTTGTGAAATTTCCGCCCAAACAATAGTAAAGGTTAATTGAAAAAAGAAATTGATATTATTAATTGACTGAAAATATAAAAAGATTCTAATGGAAAAGGAAACAAAAATTAGGGAAATTGAAAAAGGATACAGATATTACTAATTGACTGAAAACTATAAAGATTCCTAATTGACTAAAAATAGAAAAGGAAACGGTTGGATCAGCGTGAAATAATATTTGATTAAGAAGGTAAATTGAAAAAGGAAACTGATATTACTAATTGGGAAAATGGCACTTTTTCCCCCTAAGTTATATATTTATAGCACTTTTTCCCTCTCAATTATTTATGTAAGCACATTAGCCCCCTCAATTATTTTAAAAGTGGTGATTTTTCCCCCTAATATATTAAATTGACATTTCTACCCTTAAAGTAAACATTTTATTTATTTTACTTCTCCAACAAATTATTGCGTATATGTAGCGATTATCACGGTTCGGTACGAACTGAACCAGACACTATAGCAATCGAATTAAAAGTTTTCGGTTATGATTCAGATCTAGAACTCAATATTTGGATTTCAATTTATTAAATTTAAGAATAAAAAAACTGGATCATGAACCGTGAACCGGCGGTTCCGGATCCGATTCGCGATTTTGAACCGTCTTTATTTTAAAATTTTATTTTTTATTTTAAAATAGTCTAAATTCAACAATAAATATATTTTATTTTTTCAGTTCGGATCATGAACCGACCATTCCAGTTCGCTATTTTAATAAACTCTAAATATCGCGTTTTGATTATAAATTGTAATTGGGATATTTTGGTTTGGTTGCTAAAGTATCTGTTTGGTTTGAACCAAATTATAGTAATAATTTGTTGGAGAAGAAAAATAAATGAAATATTTTTTTTAAATATTTATTTTAAGGGTAAATATGTCCATTTAACATTTCAGGGGGAAAAAGAGCCACTTAAATAATTCAAGGGGAAAAAATGCTATAAGTATATAACTCAGGGGGAAAAAGTGCCATTTTCCCTTACTAATTTATAATTCTCACATTCTCTACCTATAAATACAATGGATTGGTGACTAAAAAGATTGCAATTCTTCATTTTACACTGCCTCCCTCCTTTTTCCGTGCTGGTGACTCTCTCATTCCCCTCTTACACTGCCCAGTAAAAAATCATATTACAACTTTATAAATTGACATGTAATATGCATTATTATATAATATAGTTGACATTATATTTACTTTTAAATTATTTCTCCTTTATTTTTGTATATTTGTTTTAATAATAATAATATAATTGTCTAAATCATATTACAATATCGCTTTATGATAATAATTAACTGTCGTAGCAGAAAGCCGCCGTGAACCACCACGAGAATGCCGAAGTCTTCACCAATCTGTGATCCAAAGTAATATTTTTAGTACTACAAATGTGACTAAGAATTATTTTAAGTGCGGGTATAGCTTCCCGTGCGGTTGACGTGACGCACCTTAAATATTAAAATGGCGCACCTCAAGTACACAAACCACACGCACCTTATGCACACAAATAAAGCACATTAAGAACACAAACCCCACGCACCTTAAGTTTCAACTACTCACGCACCTTAAGCTTTATATATATATATATATATATATATATATATATATATATATATATATATATATATATATATATATATATATATATATATATATATATATATATATATATATATATATATCATATAAAATGAAAATATATATTCTAATAAAATAAAATGTAAATTGATATGTGGAATTTATTCTAATTAGATAGAATTGAAGTTTCTATTTAATTTAATATCTTCATATTGTAGATATCTTTAAATTTATTTGTTTTGTATTTCAGTTCAAAACTTTTGAAATTGAAATTATTTTATTTTATTCACATTTAATTGTATATATTTTTAATTTTATATTTAAATTACAGTAAATATTAATATTTGTATTGATTTAAGCTTAGAATAATGATAATGATTTATATTCATAATATAGTAATGATTTGTGCTCAAAATATCATAGAATAACTATAATTATATTAAAGAATGAATTTTTCTCAAAATAATGGTAATGATTCATAGTTTTAATGATTTATGCTCAATGTAGTTATGGACTATATTAATCCATACAAATTTAATAATTAAATTCTTTTCATTTGTACACGCAGTTTCCTTAATTATAATTATAATTAATATAATAAGAAATATAATTAAGAAAATAAAATTATAAAATTAACAAAATATGTGTTGATAAATATTTAGAAAAATTTTTAAATACATACACACATACATATACTTATGCACTATATTAATCATACAAAATTTAAATGTTAATTTTTTAATTTCTAAATGTAATTATTTTAATTGTAAATATATCTATCAATATCTATCTATACTACTAATAAAAACAAATTTATACTTTTGCAATTTCCCGTCCAAACTATTACTATATAAAATCTAATAAATATTATGTTAATTAAGTTAATAATTAAATGAATATTAGTATAATTACAATTAAACATGTTATATATAAAAGTGTAATTGCACAATATTAGTATAAATTATGTAATAATTATTATGGTAATTAAGAAATTAATTACACAGATATTAATATACTTAAATAATAATTATTATATTAATTAAACTAATAATTACACGAATATTAGTATAATTAAAATTAAACATGAGTTGTTGGATTTTTTTTTTTATAATAATTACACTTAATTCATTCAGATATGGAGGAGAAAGAAAAAACTAAATGTGATATGACGAAAATGAATATACTTTAGGTAAAAAAGTATGATTGCACATATATTAGTATAATTGACTAATAATAATTGCCTAATAATTATTATGGTAATTAATCTAAACGTTGGTCGTTGAATTTATTTTTATAATAATTATTACAATTAAACTATTTCTCTTTTTTTTCCCATATTTATTTTAGTAATAATAATATAATTACATAAATCATATTACATATAGATCTTTTTAAGATATTTGCAGACAAACGAGTCATATATTATCCAATTAATTTAGTGATACTTTTGCACTAATCTTATAATAAAATAAATGTACACGTTCAATATTAAAACTTTTTATAATTTTATCTTTAATTGTATTATCTCAATAAAAAAAAAAAAAAAATTATCCGTGCATCGCACAGGTAATTGAGCAGTTATTTGCTCAAATTCAAGCAAGGATAACATCAGAAAACATAATCGATCCAACCAAGTTCATCAATTGTACTATATAATATTTGATTTTATAATTTATATAGTTGTATATCGATCCAAATATTCTTAAAATATTATAACAAATCCATTCCGTGCAACGCACGTGCGAAAATACTAGTATGAATAAATCTATTTGCACATATATTCTCAAAAATATGTGTTGGATATGCAATTAGGGATATAGTTCTACTTTAAATAATTAGTTATTATTTTTTCAAAATAAAATTAGAATTACCTAAATGGTGATATTTATCCATTAAGAATATTTAAAAATTTTCAAAAAGCAAAAAAGAAGAGAAAACAATGGCACGGACAGTACGGTAAAGAATACAAACTTCAAAAATCACATATATCTCTCTCTTTATATAGAGAAAACTTTACTTTCATAAATTGAAAGGTAATTGGAAGGTGGTTCTTGATTTCCTTATAAGGAGCGACTGTTACAAATTAGGGTTTTTCACAATATATCATTATACTCTCTAAGATTCCGGTCTCATTCTCGAAGATTTTTGCCTGGTTTGGCCATGGAGGTTGCAGGTTTAACATCAATCACACCTACATATAAGTCTGCTCTCGAAGCCTTGCCTCAAGATATTCTGGTAATTTTGAATTTAGATTAGATTTCGATTGTTTGATAAAAAGATTTGATCTTTATGGTGATATATATGTATATATATAATATATGCAGATCAGAATAGTTTGTGGTGTGGATCATGATGATTTGAGAGCACTGTTTCACGTTTCCAAGACGCTCCGAGAAGTGGTGAGTCTTAAATTTTCAGTGAAATTAATGTTTTTTGTTGGTTTAAATTTATATATATATCTTCTGGCTAGACTGTTTGTTTGATGATGATGATTAGGGTTTTTGGTTATGATGATGATGATGATGATGAACAGACGTTGGTTGCTAAAAAATTACATTTTGAATATAGTACGCCGAAGAAGATGGTTCATTTCTGGAAGAACGATGATGATGATGATGATTTTGGGGAGTTTAATAATGATAATAATGGAGTTGTTGTTGCAGCACCTAATGCTCCAAAACACTTGAGAGTTACAAGGTCTCGGTTGATTAGCAAGAAGCTGGCTGGTATATCTGTTGCCCTATTTGCATCAGAATATGGTGGGGCAGTTAAGTGGCAATGCAATAAGCAGTTTTTGCAGATGGCGTCGCCCGGCATAGATGAGATCAGATCTTAATTAATGGTCCAGTAGGCAGTATTTGGGAGAAGAAATCAGGTTTTAGTTAAACCTACATGGCTAGGGTTTGTTGTTGTAGTAGGATGAAATAGTCCCAATAATGAGACTGCACATTATTTATCGATCCCCCTAACATATGAGTGCTTGTAGATGTTAGGGCATACTTCAACGAAAAAAAACTAGGTAGGTAACTTTCTCTAGTCTAGATCCATAAGATTGAAGATGTCATATATCCAAGTTTGTCATCGCAGGGAGTTTGGTTGAGGGAGTAGAATTTGGGAGCCGACAGAGCTGAGGAGATCGTCTTGTCTTCAACCATCTCATTGAAGCTAGCTAGCTAGGTAGGATATGATGTGTAGAAGCTAATTCATATGGTTAATTAAAAGCTTCAATTCTTGATTCTCATGGAGGCATATAAACCCTTCTCCAACTTAACTTAAAGTTGTAGTTTGGCATTCTTGGAACTCTTTAATCTCTTGGAATACCATTCTTGGTAGTCATATTTCATTGAATAAAGTTTGATTGGCAAAAGAAAATTTTATATATGGTATATATGTATTGTTATTATTCCTAGTAATCATATTTCATCCAATGTTTGATTGATTAAAAAAAAAAATCAAATATGATGGGATATCTTATTATATTTTTTGGGTTTTTCTATTGGTAAAAATGATTTTACTAAATATATGCAAATAAATATTTCTTGACTTTATTTTATTCTTTGGTATCCAAGGAAATGTTGGTGTGAGTGATCATGCACTTTTGTTCTTAGAGAGATCGGGAGATTGAAATCCCTTTTATATTATTCAAATTTTGAATAACGTAACTAACATGATCTATCTTGGAATTTTAAAGTTTGCAAATTGAATTTGTCAAGATTTTAATGTATTCTTATCATCAATATAAATCTTTGAATAATTCATTGAAAAAGACTACTTTACCTTAAACTAGGAGATCAATGAACCAAAATATAGGATTTCTTATCATTAATCTAGCTCAAAAGAGATTGATTGAATAGATCATTCTTATACAGAAAATTTTCCTACTTAAAATCTGCCAATCACCTATTATAACTTTACTTATTATTGCCCCTTGCTTAGTGATGTCTCACCTCCATAGATCTACTTTTGTAAATCACCATCATTTATTTACTCACTATAATAATCTAGCTACTTGATAAGCATTACCATTTACAACTATCTAATATTGATGGCATTTACCATTAAAATTGATATAATTATAGGAAGAAAATAATTAGATTTCAACTATATATTTTATAGGTTAAAAAAAATAATTATAGTTAAATATGTTGGTTTGTGACACATAGCCACATAGGTGCTTAGAGATTAACACTTGAATAATAATGTCAAGTAACTAGTTTAGTGGGCATGAGTCCTATTTGCTGAGTCATTGAGTCACCGTGATTTACATCCTCTCAAATGTTCTGTTGGGCCGGGGTTTAGGGGGACCCTTGGGATTGAGAATTCAAGCTTTTGAGAGAAGAAGAAAAGTATAAGAATAATAGTATTTTTTTTATTAGCCTAGGTTTTTCTTTGTATTAATAATATTGTTATAAGAGATTTGTCATATGGGTGAAGTTTGGAAAGAATGATCAGAGATCAAGTCTCACCAGCGACACTGTGGGAGCAACCTCTCAAAGTGAGGGAGACTCCTTGTGCGCGGTAAGCAAGAAGGAAGACGGAACATAGTTTGATACTATATGTACCTTTTACGATGATTTGTTGTGCTACATTTTCTAATTTTTGTACTAAGATTTTTACTAGACTAGCGCTATGATTGTCCACCACGTATGTGGGGCAAACTTATTTTGTAGTTGTTATAGCATGGACCCGGGTCCACCTTGGTCCAGAGAATAGTTTGCTTTTATTATGTGTCTTTGTATATTTAGACTAAATTTCTGATTAGACTAATAAAATTGGATTCTTTTTTTTTTTAGAAGGAAGACGGAACATAGTTTAATTTGATACTATATGTACCTTTTACAATGATTTGTTGTGCTACAGTTTCTAATTTTTTACTAAGATTTTTACTAGACTAGCACTATGATTGTCCAGCACGTATGTGGGGCAAACTTATTTTGTAGTTGTTATAGCATGGACCTGGGTCTGGCTCTATTACATTATTTAGATGTTCATATACTTTTTCAGCCTACTGAGGCTTGAACTCACAACCTTCCAAATGGAAGTCCAACCCGAGTACCATTAGACCACATAGTCTTGGTAATAAAATTGGATTCTAATACATTAAATGTATAAATCGCAACTGGATATATCTTCAAAAATATTCTAACAACAATGAAAAGTTGAAAACCCGTTTGGTTAACTAGGATTTTTTTTTTTTTTTTGAGGGGTGAATATTTTTCTCGAATTTGAAGAAAAACATATTTTATCTTATTTTGTTGATCGAAATGAACACGCCTGTAGATTAGAGGTTAGCATGGCTGCGCAATATGATAAGGAGGTGCTGGGGGCTTTCAAGTCGAAAAAAGTGGAAGGCATGGGTAAAACATCTACGTTGATACCCGTATCTCTTGGACTAAGCCGCCACCAGGGTGGCTCAAGATAAATGTGGATGGCAGCTATAGGCGTAATGGTTTAGCTAGCTGTGGAGGAGTGCTGCGCGACGAAAATGGGGACTGGTGTAAGGGGTTTGCATACAACATTGGAAGATGCTCGGCGGAAGCTGCAGAGGCGTGGGGTGTGCTGCAAGGGCTACGGATGGCGAAGGACTTCGGAGCCTCGAGGATTATTGTTGAGTGTGATTCTAAGGCTACGGTGGAGAGTTTGTGTGAGAAAGAAGGATGGAGAAGCCAATGCCATAACATTGGCAGGCTCTGCATGCGAGAAGCTTTAGGCCTGGTGGAAGTGCGATACACACATGTTTTCAGAGAACAGAATCGGGTAGCGGATAAACTTGCGACTATGGACGAGGAGGGTGGAGTTGTTTTACGCTATTATGACTCACCTTCGCATGCGATCATTGAGCTGCTATCTCTGGACAAGGTTGGCGCATCCTCCTCCCGTAGAGTTCATAGAGCTTCTTGCGTCCAAACTCCAAAGGGTGCTGTAATTTTTGTCTTTTCTGGGTATCCCCTCCGTTTTGATATTAAAAAAAAAATTATTTTGTTGATTAAAAATTTATTCCAATGGAAATGAAATTCTTGCTCTCTATTGATATTCTATTTTCCATAGTAAATTTCATTTTTTCACACATTTTAAGAACAGAAGAAGTTACAACATGAATTCCTGACTTAACCGCATATATTTTTATTATGCATGAGCATTTGACTCTTTATTTATTTATTTATTTGGTGAGGAGCATTTGATTCTTTATTTATTTATTTTTTTGGTGAGAGCATTTGACTCTTTATACTAATTACTAGTTTTTTTACGCGCATTGCGCGATTGAGATAATGTCCAATATTTTTTTTTAAATAAGTACTTTAAAGTATATATCAATGCAAGATTATATTAGAATTGTTCATGCATAGATAATTGAATGTTGAATTTGTGTATTTATAATAGGTAATTCTAAGTTTACAAATGCAAGATAATATAGTCAAGATTGATTATAATATTCAATAAAATAATTATATAGGTATGGACATGGTTGAAACCAAATAAGGGACATAGGGGAGCACAAATAAAAATTAGGGCATAAAATATTAAATATATACTAATATTGAAGAGATAACTGTTGATTGCCAAACAAGGACATTGCGAGGTAGTTTCCCACTTCAATTTGTTGTGTGATTTGAATACTCTCTTTATCAATATATCTTCCGAAGTAGTTAATATGATTGCTTAATTATATATATATATATATATATATATATATATATATATATATATATATATATATATATATATATATATATATATATATATATGTATGTATGTATTAAAAAACAATTATTATTATTATTATTATTATTATTATTATTATTATTATTATTATTATTATTATTATTATTATTATTATATGTATATCATTAGGTCATTTTACATGTTAATCTAAACAGTTAATTTTTTCAAATATCTTTTTACCAACCGTTGATTAATTCGCTGGTCAAATCCGCTAACGCTAACCGCTAGCTGCTGGTTGTCAAACAAGTACATTGCGAGATAGTTCTCACTTCAATTTGTTGTGTGATTTGAATACTCTCTTTGTCAACAAATCTCTCAAGTAGTTAATATGCTCTGTCGGGTCGGAGTGTGAGGGCCCTTAGGGTTGGGGATTCAGCCTTTTAGGGTAAGTTAATATGATTGACTTTATTAATTATATATTTTTTAAATTTTTTCATGATATTAATAAAATACTTGGTAAATAAATATATAGCATTATTTTGTATTATAATTTTGATATTTAATTTTAAAAATAGTACACAAAAAGATAATAGACAATGTAGTGAATATAATCAATTGATGAATTTGACTGTAAAGAATTTTTACATTGGAGAAAAATAAAGACAATATAACTTATAAAATTATTTCTCATAATTAATTTATTGATAATGAATAATTTTTTTAATAAAGACATTGTAGGGACAATGTAGTGAATATAATCCATTGACGAATTTGAATGTAAAGAATTTTTATATTGGAGAAAAATAAAGACAATATAACTAATGAAATTATTTCTCTTATCTACTTTATTGATAATGAATATTTTTTTTGAATAAAGACATTGTAGACATATAATTCTAAATTAAAGAAATGCATATGTATTATTTTTTGTTGTAGCTACTAAATTATTATTTAATTTAATAAGAATAAAATAGAGTACTAATTATGTCAACTTTGATTGGGATGAGGTTCGAACTTAAGACCTTTCTTATTGAAATTAATGAGTAAGTTAACGGTGAACTAACAGAAATTAACGAAAAAGATAATATTTAACGGAAAAGTTAACGGATAATCATATTCATTAAGGATAAATTAGGAAATCTTAAGAAAAAATTAAAATTTGATCAATCTGAGCCATTCATTTGATTAAAATCTGTGACCGCCATTTTTTCTACCCATTATAGGTCTAAATCTCTTGAGCTCTTATTAGTATACTAGTTTTTTACGCGCATTGCGCGATTGGGATAATGCCCAATGTTTTTTTTTTTTTAAATAAGTACTTTAAAGTATATTAAGGCAAGATTATATTGAAATTGTTCATGCATAGATAATTGAAGGTTGAATTTGCGTATTTAAATAGGTAATTCTTCTCCCAAAGGTTGAGTCCCCTACCCAAGGGCCCCCCACACGTATACTAGTTTTTTACGCGCATTGCGCGATTGGGATAATGCCCAATGTTTTTTTTTAAATAAGTACTTTAAAGTATATTAAGGCAAGATTATATTGAAATTGTTCATGCATAGATAATTGAAGGTTGAATTTGCGTATTTAAATAGGTAATTCTTCTCCCAAAGGTTGAGTCCCCTACCCAAGGGCCCCCCACACTCTGACCCGACAGAGCATTGTAGGAAGTTGTAAATCACGGTGACTCAATGGTTCAGCAGACAGGACCAAATGCCGGTGCGAACAAGGAATCTGCCCACTTTGGACATAATTCCTGCACTGCCGCCGCCGAGGTTCAAACCTTGGTCTCTTCTCCCAAATACTGCCCACTAAACCATTGAGCTAAGCACGTGCTGGTTAAATAGGTAATTCTAAGTTTACAAATGCAAGATAATATAGTCAAGATTGATTATAATTGTCAATAAAATAATTGTATAGGTATGGTTGAAACCAAATACGGGACATAAGGGAGAACAAATAAAAATTAGGGCATAAAATATTAAATATATACTAATATTGTTTGAGGAGATTTCGACATTAGGATTTGTGGTTAAGTTCTATTAAGACTTTAATATTAGAATTAGATTAATGGTGTAATTATAATTCTATATTAGACGTTAATATTAGAATTAGACTAACGGTGAATTAACGAAAAAAGTTAAATGGATAATCATATAATTAAGGATAAATTAGAAAAATTTTAAAAAAAAAAATAAAATCTGAACAATTTGAACCATTCATTTGATTTAATAATTTGGCGGTCATTTTTTCTACCCAATGTTAATAATTAAATAAATTCGTTGGTCAAATCCGCTAATATAATCCGCTAACTGCTGATTGTCAAACAAGGACATTGCAAGGTAGTTCTCACTTCAATTTGTTGTGTGATTTGAATACTCTCTTTGTCACAAAATCTCTCAAGTAGTTAATATGGTTGGCTTTATTAATTATATATTTTTTTAATTTTTTCATGGTATTAATAAAATACTTGGTAAATAAATATATAACATTATTTTGTATTATAACTTTGATATTTAATTAGAAAAATAGTGCACAAAAAAGATAATAGACAATGTAGTGAATATAATCAATTGATGAATTTGAATGTAAAAATTTTTACATTTGAGAAAAATAAAGACAATATAACTAATGAAAATATTTCTCTTAATTAATTTATTGATAATGAATAATTTTTTTTCACTGAATTAAGACATTGTAAGGACAATGTAGCGAATATAATCAATTAATAAATTTGAATATAAAGAATTTTTATATTGTAGAGAAATAAAGACAATATAACTAATACAATTATTTCTCTTATTTAATTTATTGATAATGAATAATTTTTTTTTGAATAAAGGCATTGTGGACACATAATTCTAAATTAAAGAAATGCATATCTATAATTTTTTGTTGTAGCTACTAAATTATTATTTATATAATTTAATAAGAGTAAAATAGAGGTACTAATTATGCCAACTTTGATTGGGATGGGGTTCGAACCTAAGACCTTTTTTTTATTATTGAAATCAATGAGTAAGTTAACGGTGAACTAACGGCAATTTTTAAAATTTTAACGGAATTAGTAACGGTGTGTGGGTATTTTAGAAAATTTTAGTGTAAAATTTAAATCTTATCAATCTTTTAATCAATCTGAGCCATTCATTTGATTAAAATCTGTGACCGCCATTTTTTCTACCCATTATAGGCCTAACTCTCTTGGGCTCTTACTAGTATATATAGTATATATATAGTAGAAATTAATGAGTAAGTTAATGGTGAACTAACAGAAATTAACGAAAAAGATAATATTTAACGGAAAAGTTAACGGATAATCATATTCATTAAGGATAAATTAGGAAATCTTAAGGAAAAATTAAATTTTGATCAATCTGAGCCATTCATTTGATTAAAATCTGTGACCACCATTTTTTCTACCCATTATAGGTCTAACTCTCTTGAGCTCTTATTAGTATAGTAGAAATTAATGAGTAAGTTAACGGTGAACTAACATAAATTAACGAAAAAGATAATATTTAACGGAAAAGTTAACGGATAATCATATTCATTAAGGATAAATTAGGAAATCTTAAGGAAAAATTAAAATTTGATCAATCTGAGCCATTCATTTGATTAAAATCTGTGACCGCCATTTTTTCTACCCATTATAGGTCTAACTCTCTTGAGCTCTTATTAGTATAGTAGATATAGTAGATTTATAATCACTTATTTTCTACCAACTAAACAATAAAACTAATATTTCAAATAATATATTTCTTATAAATTTTAAATTCAATTTTTTTTTTTTCATGAACCAAACAGACTATCAGAGAATGATAATAAAAAAATATCATCAAATATCAATTTTGGACCCATGAGTATTAGTAAAATAACGATTTTTGGTCTACATGTTTAATTCTTATCATTTTTCATCCACGACTATTATTTTAGTACCAATTTTCTTTCACGACTATTATTTTAGTACTAAAATTCATTTTGCCGGTCACCTCTCCATTTAAGACATGTCGAAATCTAAACATTTTAGGATGTCCTTTTCAACTTAAGATTCCAATTTAAGCATGAATAATAGGATTTAAACCCTAAGATCAATCTCAATTCGCAGTTCTCCTCCTCATCCCACCTTAATTTGAGGAGAAGAACCGCGAATTGGGATATATCTTAGGGTTTAAATCTTTTTATTCATACTCAAATTGATATCTTAATTTGAAAAGGACGAAAATACCCTTAATAATTTGATATTTTGACATGTCTTAAACGAAGGGGTGACCGATGTGATGAATTTTGGCACTAAAACAATAATCGTGAATGAAAAGTGGTATTAAAATAATAGTCATGGATGAACATTGATAGGTTTTAAACATGTTGATCAAAACTGTCATTTTACTAATAATCGTGGGATAAGAATTGGTATTTGCTCAAAAAAATATTGTGGTTTACCTCTCACGCCATGCGCACCATTGTAATTTGTAACGTACGGGTCGGTTTCACCATTGTATTGTGGTTTAAAAGATTTGCCAGGCCGAAAACGTGAAGGATTAGTCATAACTCATAAGCTTCTTCAAAAAAAAGTACACGTGGCACTCCAGAAATCAATATACGTTATTCTTTACAGTCATATATTTGTCACCTTGTTCCATTCCATCGCTCTATACTCCACCGGAAATCCCTCACAAATCTCTCTCGCTTTCACATTTTAAGTACACCCCAAGTTATAATTTACTTTTTTCCGTGCCGGAAAATCCACCGGATGGCGGCGTCGTCGTGGCCGAAACGTGACTCCTCCTCGTCGTCGTCGTCCATAACCGACGAACATCCCGACGCTAATAAGAAGCTCAAGATCGCCGTCGCCGCCGGAGACCAGCCGTCGTCTCAAACTCCGCTCCTCATGCCCCGTCGCGTATCACTCAACCCCGCCGATTGCGACTTGGGTATGAATCTATCTTAGCTTGAAACTTTAACCAATCTTGCCAACTTGTATGTCGTGTATATATATAGCTGTGTTTTTTGAGGAATCTGCAACTGACATTGATTTATTATAACTTTATGATGATGTTTCAGATTTCTGTATTGAGTTCAATGGACTGCAAGGCTCAGGGCGGTATGAGAAGGAGTTCGCTTATTGCTGGTCTGGGGCTCGAGCGGATGTGGGGATCAGTGGGGGAAAGTATTGTTTTGGCTGCAAAATCATTGAATATCAGCCTGCAAACATTGGCGCTGATGATGACATCTCAGAAGACCACAAGAATGTATGTCGGGTAGGGGTGTCAAGGGGGGAAGATGGCAACAGTAGTAGTCTTGGAAGCCTGGGGGAGACGACGAACAGTTTCTGCATTCAAAACACCAGAGAGTTCTGCAGTGGAGGAAGGTTTTGTGGCTATGGTGAACGGTTCGAAATCGGGGATACGATAGTTTGTTGTGTGGATCTTGAGGCTAAACCGGCGTCCATTGGGTTCCACAGAAATGGGAGATGGATGGGAATGGCAAGCCAGTTTGATGGAGGGATTAAGGAGCTGGAATGGCAGTCTGCATATTTCCCTCATGTTCTGCTAAAAAATGTTGTTGTTCTTTTGCAGTTCTGCAGAGAAGATGGACTGGAGCCTGTTGAAGGCTACAAACCCTGGGCATCTTCTGTGCAAGATGGGAAAGCTTTTCCAGGCCCTACTTTATCTCCAGATGTTCATGGCTGTGACCTTATAATGATGGTTGGTTTGCCTGGTTCAGGCAAGACAACCTGGGCACAGAAATGGGCCGAGGAGCACCCCGAAAAACGATACATCTTGCTTGGAGAAAGCCATGCTTTTCATAAAATGAAGGTAAAGAAGACAAGATTTACTTGGTTCGGGAATCAGGATGGAGCAAAGCTGTTCTTTTATTAATTGACATCTGACAAGAAATTTGACACAATTATATTCACAGGTGCCTTCCCTGATGGATAAGTGTAACTATGATGAACTGATTGAGTGCTGGAATGGCCGTGCTGCTAAAGTCTTCAGTGCTCTTGTGTCCAGAGCTTCAAAGCTGCCTCGAAACTTCATCGTTGATCACACGAATGTCCACAAAGGTCTCCGTGGCCACAAGCTGAAGCCATTTGCAAACTACAACAAAGTATTGCCATGACTTCTGTCATAAATATTGTTTGGTTATTGTTGAGCATATTTAATGTGCAATCCAACTATCAGCTTTTAGTTGAGATGGAGCACATGCTTCAATTTGGTATCAGAGCCAGACCAAAGGTCATGGGTTCGTCACCCTATAAGCGACTACGGTCCACGTGGGGAACCCACCGCGGGGCGTGTTGAGCATATAACCATTAATGTGCAATCTAACTATCAGCTTATGCTTTTAGTTGAGATGTGCTCTTGTTATTGCCATGACTTCTAATGAAGCATACTGTCTATGGCTTTGAATTAGGTTGCTGTTGTGGTTTTCCCAGCACTAGAAGAGTTCAAGTCACGTGTTGTTAAGAGATACAAAGAACTGGGAAGGGGAATTCCTGCTGGAATCATAAATGAGGCTTTAGGTATCACCAAACTTCATATAATTTTGTCATTTTACATCTTTACTGTTCGGTTATGACTCGTTCGTTCTGGCTAATCACTTGGCAGCCAACTTTGTTTTGCCAATGAGCAAAGACATGCATGGAACAGATGAGCACTTTGATGAGGTAAAAAGATAGATGTTCATAAGAACAGTAAGTTTCTGCATTTATTTTTCCTCATGTTTTGCTCTTATCTGTCTATCCATGTTGTGTTTTAAGGTTTGGTTTCCGGAACTTGGAAGAGCAGAGTCAGAGAAGAACTTGGGTGAGATGAAAGCAAATATGAATTTTTTTGCAGTTCTGGGAGAACAGACTCAGAGTTCAAGCACTCCTAGGCCAGCAGGTTCTGCAGGCCTCTAGAGAACGAAGTTGACATGGATGGTGATTTCATGGAAGCTCAGCATTACTAAATTAAACAAGGAGTTTTATATATGGTGAAATTAGGAAATAGTTTAGATTCTTAGCTTATTGAAACAACTCTTCTCTTTAGATTCAACATTGAACTAATTAATATGGTATTTTCCCTAGTGATACTGATAAATGTTTTATAGTTACCATATCATTCAAGAATCTAATAGAGCAGCCCAAACCCGAAACTCTGGATTTATGTTTATCGGCATGATTAACCGTCTTAAATAACATTTAATGTTGTGCATGGAAACGCCGCAGCTACATATATAGCAGGCAAAGACACCACAAAGAATACATTAGCTTATAATGATTTTTGCACATACTTGTCACTTGAAGTATAAATAGGAGTTCAAAATACAAACTCCGAATTCAAAAAGAAAAAAAAAGGACAATTGCCAGTTGGTGACCACCCCCAATGTATACTACAGCGCCCAGTTGGTGCACAAAACGTGCACTAACTTCTTTTTTTTTTTTTTTTTTTTTGAGATCTACTGACATTAAAAAAAAAAAAAAGAAAAGTTGGTGCATGTTTTGTGCACCGGCGCGCTTCAGTGCACATTGAGGGTGGTCACGGTTGGTTTCGAGACTACCGGAACAGTCTTCGGCGGGTCAACACTACCGGAAACAAAGTAAAGATGGTAGGAAAAGTGTTTTGGTCTCAACTCTCGCGTGTATGTTTTAGATTATTCAACCCCTTTTACAATGTCTTCTCATGCTTTTTATACAAGCTCGGATGATTGTTTCTACTAAGTATAAATAGGAGTTCAAAATACAAACTTTGAATTCAAAAAAAAAAAAAAAAAAGACAATTGCCCGTTGGTGACCACCCTCAATGTGTACTGCACCCGCCAAGCTTGTGCACAAAACGTGTACTAACTTTTTTTTTTTTTTTTTTTTTTTTGAGATCCACTGACACCCCAAAAACAAAAACAAAGTTGGTGCACGTTTTGTGCACCGGCTGGGCGCGTTCAATGCACGTTGAGGGTGGTCACGGTTGGTTTCAAGACCACCGGAGCAGTTCACTGGCGGGCCAACATTACTGGGAACAAAGCAAAGATTGTAGGAAAAGTGTTTTGCTCTCAACTCTCGCGTGTATATTTCAGATTATTTTAGGCCTGTGCATCGGACGGATCGGATCGGATGATTTTTCCGTTCATCCGATCGGATTGCGGATTGCAATTTTGAAGTCCTATCCGTTTTTTTGAAACTAAAACCCTATCGGATATGCTATGTCGGATTTCGGATTATACGGATCGGATGTCGGACTTAATTCGTATTTGGAAAAGTTCATTAATAATTGAAAATTAAAAACTGAAAAAACATAATATGATTAATTTAATATGATAATATATAATCTACCAAGTCTCTATTACCAAAATAAGTAATAACTAATAAGTTAACAAAATAAAACATGCAACAACCTTTTAATGGACAGTTTGCAGAGCTAAATAATTTAAGTTTACAAACAAAATTGCAAAAAGTAAACCAAAAATACAAAATTAATCTAAGTTTAAGTGTTTAACTTCCAAAACATCAAAAATTCGAAGTTAATCACTTAAACTTCAGCAATCATTCCAGTCTAGGCCTTTTCAACAAATAACATCAATCACCATTTCTACACTTCTTCCTGTTAATATGAAAACTTAACACAATATTAGATTATTAGACAACATATGTAGTAAACAGCTAACTAAGTAACAATATTATGCTGTAGGGGCATTAGGCTAATAGCCTTATAGGCTCAGATTGCAATTTTCCATTTCAAGTAAGGATAGTGGCAAATTGCTCAAATGTGTTATAATAGCACATGAGCAACATAGCAACACTATACCATTTGTTCAAACAGTGGTGGAAGCATCATCATTGCCAAAAAATAAGTAATAATAAATAATAATGCATTAAAACTGAACAGAGATCAATTCAGAGGATGAGAGGAATACCAGAGATCCAGAATGGATGTAATGGGAGTATGGGACATCAATACTGAATAGTGAATACTGCTCAACTCTAAGTGGGGCAACATTTCTATAATATAATTATAGAAAGTTGTCAAGCGACTTAGACTGTTAAGACTCTTAGAGTTTCATCTTGTGAAGGCCAACAGCAAACAACAGTACAACACCATAACATATAAAGATAAATAATTAGTTAAACAAATAATAATTACTGAAAACATTACAGGAATGGATGACAGCATTGATGGTAGAGTAGTTCCAGCTCCAGTGGGTAACTCTGCAAAACAGTTAAGTATAAGTAATTAGTTCTAGACTTACAAGTTACAAAAGTAAAAAAGAAATGATTTAAAAAATATATATTTACCTTTCTCCAATCTTTCAACCTCATCTAAATTTTCCTCAAGTGTGATTGGCTTATTATGTAACCTCAGCCAATCTTGGGTACACAGTAGGGCTTCCACAATTTTAGGAGTCAAGGAACTCCTAAATGCATCAAGCACACCCTTCCACTTGTACTAAATGCACTCTCATATGCAACTGTGGAAATAGGAACTGCAAGCACATCTCTAGCCATTTTGGAGAGAATAGGAAATCTCTCACTATGACTCTTCCACCACTTTAGAACATCAAAACTCACAGATTCATCATCCTCAACCAGATTTTCACTCAAGTATATTTGTAGCTCTGTCTGCTTACTGCTTCCACCACCACTCTCCAATCTTTTCTTTTTTTTTTTTTTTTTTTTTTTTTTTTTAAGTTCACTCTTCATCCTTGAGACAGGCCTACCAACTGTACAAGTAGTAGGTTGAGACTGGACAGGTTGGTTAGAGGATGAACTGTCAGAGTATGTAGCAGCATAGTCATTATACAATGCAACCATTGCAGTTTGGACCTTGGCAAAACATTCTTTGCCTTTGACATCTCCATACAACTTGACAAACTGGTGAGGCATGTACTCCTCCTTATCTCTGGGGTCCAGAATATTGGCAAAGAAAATGAGATGGTTCATTTTTTCTGGATCTCCCAGTACTTATCAAACTTGTCTTTCATTTTTGTCCCTATTGCCTAATAAATACAGAAACTCAGAAAGCATAAACATTTAAAAACACATATAACTTGGCAAGTTATACACAATTACACAAATAAACACAAGTGTTTTACCTTTTCAGTATTCTCAGCTTTAGTCATATCTTCCAGCATGCAACTTAGATCAGAGATCTCAGAGAAGAATGTGTTAGAAGTGACATAAAGAGAACCAGATATTCTCACTGTCATTTCATAAAAAGTTTTTCTTTGTATTAATAATATTGTTATAAGAGATTTGTCATATGGGTGAAGTTTGGAAAGAATGATCAGGATCAAGTCTCACCAGCAACATTATGTGAGTAACCTCTCAAAGTGAGGGAGACTTCTTGTGCGCAATAAGCAAGAAGAAGGAAGATGGAACATAGTTTGAAAACATGTACCTTTTACGATGATTTGTTGTGCTACATTTTCTAATTTTTGTACTAAGATTTTTACTAGACTAGCGCTATGATTGTCCACCATGTATGTGGGGCAAATTTATTTTGCAGTTGTTATACCATGGACCGGATCCACCTTGGTCCAGAGTTTTGTCTCTTTGTATATTTAGATTAAATTTCTGACTATCAAAACTATATGGTCTAATAGTAAAAGACTAAATTTCTGACTAAACTAATAAAATTGGATTCTAATACATTTTTTTTTTATTACAAAGGAAGGGGGCTACCCATATACTAATCTACGCCTACACCAAGGCTCAAACTTAAAACATCCCACATAAAGGGCCATCCGGATACCAATGGACTACAAGCCACTTGGTGAATTCTAATACATTAAATGTATAAATCGCAACGGGATATATCTTCAAAAATATTCTAACAACAATGAAAAGTTGAAACCCCGTTGGTTAACTAGAAATGTTTTTTTTTTTTTTTTTTTGAGTGGTGAATATTTTTCTCGAATTTGAAGAAAAAAAACATATTTACCTTATTTTTTGATGAAAAATTTATTCCAATGGAAATAAAATTCTTGCTCTCTATTGATATTTTATTTTCCATAGTAAATTTCATTTTTTTTCACACATTTTAAGAAAAAATAGTTACAACATGAATTTCTGACTTAACCGCATATATTTTTATTATGCATGAGCATTTGACTCTTTATTATTATTCTTCCAAAAGGTTGAACCCCAACCCTAAGGCCCCCCACACCCCGGCCCGACAGAGCATTTGGGAGGAACTCTTTATTATTATTATTATTATTATTATTATTATTATTATTATTATTATTATTATTATTATTATTATTATTATTATTATTACTAGTATTTTCACCCGTGAGTTGCACGGAATAAATTTGTTATAATATTTTAAATATATTTAAATCGATATACAATTGTATAAATTATAACATCGAATCTATATATAATACAATTGAAGGATTGAGTTGGAACAATTATGTTTTATGATGTTATCATTGATTGAATTCGAACAAATAACTGCCGAATTAATAGCTAATGTCTAGATGTACGCAATTATGTTTTCCGATGTTTTCATTTTGGGGGAAAAAAATAATACATAATATCATCGATTGTATTTACACATTATTGAAAATCTCTCTGTAAACAACATTGGTAGTCGCAACACAATCATGTCCATCATTGTCTAAAGCTAACACCTTCAGGCCATCAGGATGGGTGACTGGGGAGAAAGCCACGTACAATTGTCCGTGATTTTAGACCGGTTTTTTAAGCAATAACCCAACATGAGTTAGTGTTTGGCCTTGGCTTTTGTTGATAGTCATGGCATATGCAAGCATCAGCGGGAATTGTTTACGCTGGAACTTGAAAGGCAATCTTGTATCAGAAGGAGAGAGGGACATTCGAGCGATAAGAACTTTGGTTCCTTGATGTGTCCCATTAACTATTCTTGCTTCAACAATGTGATCTGCCAATCTTGTGATGATGAGCCGTGTCCCATTACAAAGACCAAGAGAGTGGTCTATGTTCCGCAATAACATAACAGGTGCACCGACCTTTAATGTCAATGAATGATTAGGAACACCTGACAATCTCAAACTATTT